GCTTTTTGATGATTTGGTTGTTTGACTCATTATTCAGCACTGCTTTAAAGTACACAACATTTTTAACTTACATTGTATTTTGCCATCTCAAAATGTATAGAAAATTGGAATTCCGGTTCTGGTAAAAAGTAATCCACGTCAAGTTGTGCTAACGTTACGTACTCGTTTAGCTGTGGATGGTTAAGTGACATTATGTAGCAGACACGATTTCTCGTCAATAGAATGATTGGCCTACATTGACACCGCCATTTTGTATTAGCATGATAAAGAGCCCCAAGGACAAACTGGGCCCCTGCAAGGTAGGTTCGAAATGGGCCTACTACGTCACCTACTGCAGGGTCCAGAATTAGGATGCTTTGCGAGTATGGACCATTTCCAAAGTACTGACAACTGCAAAGTAGATTGGAAATAATATGGCCAAACTACATCCAGCTGTCTCAGGAGTTAATTTCGGGGGGGGGGGGGGTGCCCCGTCGAACCCCCAATCACTGCCTCGTAAAACATGCACAGTACGTAAAACAGTATACTTACCCTTAAATCCCCCCCTCAACCACACCTCCTTGGACCGTCTCTCGCTACATACCGAAACAGCGAGCTCAATGTAGCTCAATGTTTTGGTCATACTGTAACTACTGTAGTCACTAAGCCAACACAATTATCCGCTAGGCTGTCTAATAGAACGACCTTGGAGAGAACTAAATAATCACCCAATTTTGCTAATTTGGCTAGAATGGCTCATTTGAAATGAAACCTCCCATTACACCTGAAGCAGCTCGAACTAATTTATCGTCCTTTTTGCAGCGAATAATTGATTTGTCAACGGAGAGATTAAATGGTGTGCATAGATTCAAGGTCAAACTTATTTATAAAACTATATGTTTAAGTCTTGTATAAGAAATAAGTCTCACCTTTGGGAAATCATACTGACTGCCATTTAGATTATAATAACTTTAATTAAGCACTTATTAAGAAGAAATAAATAATATCTTATTCCCGTTGTGGGAAATTCGCTAAAAACAGAATTTCTTCTTACATAGAATACCTTGTATCCGGTCCTTAGAGCCAAGTGTTGGATTATGATTTGGCTAGATTAATCGGTCAGCTCAGAAAAGTTATCCCAACCCTAATTTTAGGAGAATATTTACGTCTAAAATTGGCAAATATCTCACTTTGGGTCCTTCGTTACCAACATACTGTAGTTGAATTTTTGATAGATTTTCTAATCTCTAGAAACCGATGGGCTGTGAGAAGTGCTCTTTGGACCAACGATCACATAATTTGGACTTATCGTTTGGATCCGTAAAAAATCAATTTTAATTTCTACAAGCGGGTATCGAAACGAATACATACGAATGAATTAACTTGTACCAAAATTCTCCAACCCCCTATAACTTGAGCTCAAGGCAATTAACAATAATCCTCTTCTCATCGCTAAAGCCTCCGGAGAAACTAAAATCAATCCCTACACGAGTTACATCAGCTACTGCGTGTTAACTTTCCGATCAGCTGATCTCATAACATCTCCCGCCCATGCGGCTTTCTCCCGCCAAATATCGCGCCTGTCATAAATCTACTGGAAGAAAATACAGGCCGAGATTTACACAGGGTTGATAATGAATGCTGCCGAAGGGCGTTTAGCTTTAACAAAATTTAAGATGCAAGAATTTGGCATGTGTAACAGTTTGTGGCACAGTACAGACTAAAGATAGCATAAGCTTTGTACCATTATCTAATGCTAAAAAATAATTTAAAAACAAATTGTGTATACAGCGTGTATGTAAAATACACATTGTATTGTGCGTGGTTTAGTTTAGTTTAGATTACATCAATTAATGCCAAACAAGGATATAAAAGAATCCTACAACAGAGTATTTTATACTTTGCCTACAGCACCAACAGGCATTCTATAGAATGAATAGACAACACGTGAGTCCAATTTCATATGGTGCCTGGTTCATTTTAGGCAATGTATAGAATGTCTGGTTGTATAATTTGCCAGTAACGTATACAGTCATGTGTATAATCACATGTGTTACTCGAATCGCGCGTGGTAAACGCTTTACGCACCAGCTGTGAACATTGACATTGCCAAGTTTCAAGGTCATATCGATGACGCCACTGACCACGTAGGTGCGCTTAGGTAACACATGGTGTGTAGATAGCGTTCATGACGGAGCGGGGAAAGTTGAAAAAATGATAAATCATTGAGTATTGAAGTCAAAATCGCAAATCGAGAGCACTGAGTATAATTTGACAAGTGACGTTTCTATAATATACATCTTTTTCAGAAAATTAATCGAAATTTTTGTTCATCCTACAACGTGTAGTGTACGAAATGCATACAATTTGCATAATTATTTAATTCAAGAACAGAAATTAAGGACGAAAATAAATTTAATATCAACAATCAAGCAATTAGTCATAGTCGCTTATTCTTTACAATTTTGTAGTCATACATCTAAGTCGTCAAATATAAAAATATAAACAACTATGTACAATTTAAACACAAAACTCGATATGAATTTGAAAATATATATTATATTTTACAAGAATATGAATATAGATGAATAAATACAATTTCATTAATATTTCGACGGTTCATTAATAATTATTAAAGAAACATGTTCGATTTAAAACGATAATCCATAATTTGAATTCGTTCTGATATAATAGATCGTTTTAACGAAAACTACTGAAAATTTTTTAGTTTGTGTATTTTTTCGATTTAGTGGATAAAAAAATCTTTAAAATTACACCATATTTATGGAAATTGGTGTATAATTAAGGAAGTTATAGCGTACTAACGGAAAAACACTTTAGAAATTCAAACCTAAATAACAAATGTAAACAAAAATAAACAATAAAAGAATTCAAAACAAAAACTAATTCGTTGTTGTTAGGGCTCCTGAATATTTTCCTAACATTCACTATTTAAGAATGCCGTTATAATTGAATTATTAATGAAGCGAGGTAATTTCAGGCCAGCTAATACCTCAGACCTTGAATATTACGAACCAAAATTCCAGAGCAATTTCCACAGATAGGTGAAAGTTGAACAATTTTGCTGAACGTTAAATGCCAAGAGTTTCTACTGCAAATAGACATTCTTGCCTAAACTAAGTAAAGTTTGACGAAAAATAATTTTAAGTTTTTATCAAGAAAAAAAGTATATTTTAAATTCGTATACTTTTGGATGACTAACTTTAGCAACAAGTTTTCTTTGTAAATTAGAAATGTGAGGAAAATCATAAAAAACACACAGCTTGTCCCAAAATCTACATTTGCTAGCCTGGTTGATTTTTTTGGTCAGTGCCCCAACATGGGTGCTGAGAAACGAGTTCGATCCCCGATTTACTTAAAAAAAGTGCTAACGGTTTTCCAAAACGCGTTTGTAATTTATTATTTTATTCAACATACCACTTACGTATCTCATATTAATAAGCAAGCATGTTTCTTTAAAACACTTTTTTCTCAGCTCGTGTGCATCGCAGGGAAAAAATACACATTAAATCTATTTTCCTGTACATGTGCAGAATCCCTTTATAAATTGAAATAGGCTCGAAAATAAGCACAAAAACTAATAAAAAATTAACATGGGCCTTATGGGTTGCTATGGTGACGAAATAACAATGAAATATAAACAAAGAATCAAAACAAGTGGAAGTAATTCCAATCACGTTTTATTTACAGCGTGGGTAAAAAATAGAAAAGTCTTACATATTTTTGGGCTAGTTTTCGACCACTGGACGACCTAATACTTAAGACGTCAGGTAATTCGTCACTTATCCAATATAAATCGTACCCATAATTCACTACGAAGTTAGTTATTGCTAGTACTTCTTTCGATATAATTATTTAGTAGCTTTTTATCCAATAGACAATAAATAAGTTAAATAGACAACCCGCAAAGCTCCAACAAGATGGCGGATGGTCGCCAAGCGGTCAGCTGTGAGTCAAACAGATGAATATTTACAACGCAGATTCGTGTCAGGGAGAGCGCATAATTGTATCACTAAAACTGTCTATAAATACGGTTCTTCATTCCTTCATTGGTGTCAAAACCTGCGATCAACATTCTAACCCGAATAGGCTAATTAACTTTCAATCAAACCTTTGATTCGTAAAATCCGACATAATAATACATTGCGCTTAGTGGCGCATAAGAAATTAAATATTATATTGTTCTAAAAGGCACTATGGACATATTTTGTATTGTATGAAATTATTTAACTAAACAGTCTTTATAAAATAAAAATGAAGAAATAGAAACTCAATTTTGTCATCTTGAGGCAACGAAAAAATACATAGGCCAATGTCATACTGGACTACATTAATAGCTATTTCCCTGTTAGGAAAGCCCTCTTATGACAACATTACAAGAATACATGTATATGAATTAAAAAAGACAATGTCATATTGAAATAACATTTTCCCATCATAATCAGTACTCCAATGGAAATGAATATACAGTAACTGTATTATAAGCACTGCTCATTTGAATAAATGTTATAGACATATTATAAAACAAATAAATTTATATTTAAAGTAAAGAGGTTAATTTAACACGTATAAAAAGGTTATAAATCTAATGGTTACCAAAAACATAATATTTCTGTATACACCATCAAATAATTTAGGCCTACTTATGTTGATTAATTCACATAAACAGATTATACAAATTACTAATAAAAACAAATACACATTTTACACTTACTTAATGATACAAATATTTATTGCACATCGACAAAATAATTAGAAAATGTATTTGGAAATACAGTACTAACTAACAAACATCACAAGGAGAAAAGTCCTCAAGGCGATGAAAGCTCTCAAAAGCATTGAACGAAATTGTTTAAGTACTGTTCAATGTAAAGTAAATTTTGAATTTAAAATGCATTTCAACCCCCCAAATGCATAGTAATACGTGGTTACAGTAAAATTTCTAAGATAACATTTTTTTATTAAATTAACATATTTTTTATTTAAAAAAGTACAAGTACCTTTGATTCTTAGTGGTGGCAGGACGAACCATAGTCCGCTTCTCTTCCTTGGGAAGGCGCAAATAGTCCTGGTCACCCAATAGAAACAAGTCCTTAGATATGATCATGTCCTCGCTTATCAGTACTGTAGCATCACAACACACGCGCTTCACACGATGTGTTCGTTACAGCGATACGCGCAAGACTGACGGACGGCAGCGGCACGACTGACGCATGCGCTACACACCTAGCGCTCCTAGCGGCCGCCGCCGCAACCACGCAACTGTGTCATACCATTGTTGTGCGATCAGCTGATCAGCTGTCCGCCCGTTAACCGATCACGGCACTGTTATTATCCGGTTCCGTGTTTTCTGATATTTTCGGGACTTTTAGGTGTTGTGTTTAGATTAAAGGGGTTAGTAAGAAACACTTGTTCGATTCACACATATCAGTTCCGGCACGTTACAGTAAAAAAATATTCTTTAAGATCAAACATCGCGCTTTCTACACTCATCCGACGCAGTTCCGTCAGTCGCTTTGCCGGCGTCCGTTAGTAAATTTCAGATATTCTTCCCACCGATATTTTTTTATTGTACGGACGTCTGTGTTTGGGGTTAGAAAAAAGGGGTTTTTAATTAAATGCTTGTGTTTATATTTTAAGTACTTTTTGTAACGTTCAACAAGATGGACGATGACAATTTGATTGTATTGTGTTTATTGGCTGTAGCATCAATGTAAATAAAGTGACAGAAGACTGAATGAAACCAAATAACCTACAGTTGATTGAGGAATTATTGCGAATGCAACTGAGACTGAACTGTGACTTGTCTGTGACGGAACTGATATGTGTGAATCGACCTTTAGGCGCATCTGCTTGTGACGAAAATAGTAGGCTATCTTGCTAGACTTTTGGGCTGTCCAATCAACCAAAACGTACAGCAAAGGCAGAGTTTTAAAAAACTATCGTATTTTTTATCAATATAACATTGAATTTAAATTTATTATTATATGTAAACTACAAGTAATGTATTTCATCACTTGACAGCAACAATCGCAACAGCTGTTTACTAATAATAGGCATTACTTTGATAATGTGGGGTTGTTATTAAACATGATGGATTAGAACTTTCCTAATATTTTGGGAGGCTCTAATGTTCCTATGTTTTGATTTTGAAACAAGTTATGTTCACTTTTATCTCACATACTATTGAATTAAACTAGCACGATTGAAGACACGTTTTGGTTTGGCACAAATAAATGATGTGTTGATACTAGATGTTTAGACCGTTCTACTGTTTATTGTTAAATAATAAAACATTTCTTCCTTGAGACGAATTATAACCATTTACAAACTGTAATATTGCGTCATAACTTTATTTAGAGTAACGCGTCAGAGTAAGGCATTGCTATACTGTAAGTGACTACAAGCACAGTTAATAGAACACCATAATTGGTTCCTAGTCTTTGCTACAAGGAAGATTATTTTTCAGGTGGCAGAAATAAAATAGAATTGCCAGAGAGTCATAGCATAATATTGTCGTAGCCTAACAATATACAAACAAATACAGTATTACTATCAGGGGCCCATTTCATAATAAAGTACAAACTAATATTATTAGTAAATCAGCTGATCGCCCAATGCAAATCTAATGGAAATTACAAGTTACAAGTTGTAACTTGTAACTTGTAGTTTATTATGAAATGGGCCCCGGATGTCAACAATTCAACAATATAAACTGCTGATTTAATATTACAATAAATAGACGTTTAGAATATACGAATTCACAATAAATCAAAAGTTAAATAATTAATGGCAAATTACAACAATGCAACAACAAAAACAGCTGTTCCAGCAGTTTAAATGCTTTAAGGACATTTTAAATTTAAATTGAATTACAGATTAACTATAGCTCGGCCGCTTAGAAAACGACCTGCGCTCTAATGCTAAACCAATGCTGGAGGAGGTCGTTTTCTAAGCGGCCGAACTATAATCTTAAAATAGTGAATAACATATTAAGCCTTAGTAGGGAATTTTCATTCTGAATATTTTCTAGTAAAAATTATTAGAAAAATTACCTGTGCCTAAAATAGTTTAAACTCATGTAGGAAACAGAATTAGTCGTGACGATATTTAAATCAAGATGTTTTCTCATAAATCATAAGTAATCCATATTGGATTTCGTATATTGAGTTTGTAATCTCCATACTTGCAAAAAGTCTATTATATAGTCTATAAAAGTCTATATGTTGTCATGTGTATTTTAAAACTAGTAGTGAATTGAAAAAAAGAAATCCCTCAATATTTTATTACAAAAACTTCTGTCCGCCAGTTTCTTTTAGACGAAATATAAATACATTTTACAAACAGTATTTACAGAAAACTTGTAAAATATGTTTGATACTTAAGCTCTCCTTTTGCCGGGATAAGTCAAATGTGACACGGGGAAGGTACAGGACAGTTGTGACAAGTTACAAGTCTTGTAACAAGACAGTTATTACAAGACAGAAGACGTTATTGTTGTAACGTCATTTTCTCTTATCAGCTCTCCTTTTGCTTGTCATTTATCCTCACCTACTCAATCCTTCCTAGCGAGCTATCAGACAACGCAAAACACGTTGATTTTATATACTGTAATGTACTTCAAAAGATAGCATTGTTGTTGATGGTACGAGTAAGGTCATGCCAAGACCATGATACAAAATGGTATCTTGAAAATTAGAAATGGTATGGTTCTTGAATATAAGAAATGGTATGGTTCTTGAATATCAAATAAATGTTTGGACATGACATTTTCGAGTTTGAGCTTTGAGTGGAAATATCCGTTTTTTGTCCCCCTGAACCCCAAAAACATGGGTTTCGAAGTTATGTAAGTGTGAGTGAGTGTGGAACTGTACACAGCTACGGAAACTTGTACTATGATTTTGAATAAGTTTGATTTGTGGGTAATGGGGGTTTTCATTTATAAAAATGTTGAGTGTTAATGCTGATTTCTTATAAAACCCCATGATGTAATTAAAATCAGATTTTTCAAAAAGGGTACCAACGATTTTAATTAACATTTAGTATGTTATAGACCTTTTACTTTGATCGAAATGGTACAAACCCCAATGTTGTAATGATTACGGTTCAAAAACTATTGCAATGTTGTGTTTTTCTCCATAAATATCATAGTTACTTCCACCGCTTGAATATAATAAGGATTTTTGGCAAGCTAAATGACCGATCGTTAATACAGTTTATTTTAAGAATCTGAAACGATTGAATTGTCTTGTCTTACACATTGTACCAGTATAAGTACAGTCCACTCTTGTACTATACCAGCTCACCCCTTGCGTTGCTTGATATAGACTGGGACGGGTGGCGTCGTCCTGTAATCCAACTACTAGGAGGTCACGAATTGTGGATATTTATAGGGATGCACTGTGGATGCGATGCTCCCTGGTGTGGATTAACGTCCGCACTAGTGAGTACTACGACTATCCGCAGTACTATTCTGATAATTAGACCAATTCGTAAATTACAAGGAAAAAATGTCGTTCGGATTCCACTATAAACTGTAGGTCCCTTAGTTGCCATTAGCTGTATGGGCTATTAATTAACAGCTGTGTCTAAGAAACATGTCGGCCTTAGTCACTAACAAGACTACAAGATCGCGCCACTCATCCTACACTCATCCTTCACTCATATTTGGGTTAAAATACGCTCATAGTGGCGTCCCCATCTTAAATAATTGAAAATTGAAAATTGAAATTATGTTCCACGCACAGGTCCATAGCCTATGTGGACGGGCAAATGCAAGGTAAAAGAGGCCTCCAACCCGTTTTATAAAAATAAAATAAGAAATACATAAGAAATAAGTAGATTTATAAAATTCAAAATCTGTTATCTAACAATAAACTATTTTACTACTATACATAAAATAATGTTGAATTAAATTACGTCCCTACAACAGCATTGCATCATCTAGTAACAAGTTACCAACGAAATTTACATAATAGACCAGTTTGAAAAGTCAGTTCAAACTTTATGCACAAACTTTTCAAAGTTTGTAACTTGTGCGAGTTCGTAGTCAAACTAGTTGTAGAATAGTGAAGTGAGATCATTGAACTGAGGGTGACGACCTTTCTTATCACTGCTTATCACTGTGATAAGCTACTTACGCTAATACTGTGCAAAAACCGCGCACTTAGTGCAAACCAGACTTACTAGGCTGATAGGGCTGGTGTGGAAATTGACACCTTTTTACTTTAGTTTCTTATTGTGTATGGTTTATTAGTAAAGGTGTTGAAAACTCAACAAGAGACAAGATAAGAAACAAGACATTCCGTTAATGTTTTAGAGATGTAAATTTATTAGGCCTTACTACTTAGAAACCCCTGACCAAACATTCGGTCGTGCATTAATTGTGCCAAAGAGTTCCTTGATTGCGCCAAGTCCTCAAAGGGTCCCTAAAAATGTTCCTTTTTTTGCGCCAAGTCCAAGCCAGGTAGTGGTGAGTTGCCAGCAGAAGGAATGTCCTTGTTTACACGTCATACTAACCTAACCTAACCTACCCTAGTATACAGTCAAAGAAGGGCGCCACTTGGTGCAGTTATTGAACGTATCGGGTGGCTGTGGTTCTCTGGATTAGTTGGCGCAATTCAGGAATACCCGACTACCTGACTCAGGTCAGTTGGTGCAATTAATGCCCGTCAAGCATTCATACATTGATTTGTAAACAAAACATAAAAAAAGAATCAAGCCTCTACGGTTCACTACATTTCTAACTTTACACTTTTTGAACTACTGTATTTGTTTGGCAAATGAATTAAACACAGTATAAGTGCCACTTTCAGTGATATTTGACTCACTGGCTACACTGATGAGGAGTACAATAAAACTGCATAGTTTCGTTCCATTACAAAGTCCATATGAAATTTGATTTAGATTTAAGGGTGGACATTTTTGTTTTGCCTATATTCTGATAAAATTATCGCCCTTATCCTACGATTGCTGACCTTGTTGCAACGATTTTGGATACGAACCCCAGCTTCGACGATGGGTGAAGGTCCACATTTGCATCCAAATACGTCTCTAAAACGTTTGCCTATCCGTTGTAATGTCGAACGCTGTGAAGAAAAGGAATGCACGAGTCCACTGTTAATTCATTTTCGCCATTCAATTTGTTATTATTGCTGTGCACATTGAT